TCCTCCTCCTCCTCCTCCTCCTCTCCTTCTCATTCTTCTTCTTCTTCTTCCATATCCATCATCAGCCATTAACGATCATATTGGCGACTCTATTTTTATCAACAGCCATATGAAAAAGTGCTGTTGAGTTTTGTCCAAACCTGCCCCTTAGATTTTGAAGCCATGATGTTCTTCTTCTGCCTGGACCTCAGTTGCCTTCAATCTTTCCTTGGAGGATTAAGTACAGGATGTCATATTTTTTCAGAGTGTCTCATCACATGTCAAAAATATTCTAACTTTCACTTTTTAATGGTTTTGATGATTTCCCTTGGCTTTCCCAGGTGGCCTATCACCTCCTCATTTCTGATTTTGTCAACTGAACTTACACATAACAGCTGCCAGTAAATCTACATTGCAAATGCTTCTAGTCCCTTCAAGTGGCTTTCTGTCTGAGACCAACTCTCCACTCTACAGAGCAAGGTAGCATCTGGCAAGCCTGATTTTGAATCTTAGGCTTATGTGTAGGTAGCTACGATGTACCTATAGATAGATAGTCACCAAAGCAGCAGGCGTGAGCTTCAATGGACTCCAGAGCATGGTAGAGGACAGGAAGGCCTGGAGGAACATTGTCCATGGGGTCATGATGGCTCGGACATGACTTTGCAACTAACAACAACAACAGGTAGCTACAGGGAATGTCAAATATTCTGGATGTCAGGCCTGGAAACCAAAGACATTAATTAGTTTGTAATCTCCCACGTGTAAACATTCTGGTTTTTTCCCTTCTTCTCCTTGATTATAGGAAACTGTGGTCATGGCCCGATTACGAACATCAGCCAACCGTACGTGATCCAACTGAATTGGAGAGGGTTTTCCTACAAATACGGAGCCTGGGGAAGATATTCCTCCCCTCTTAGCCCTGGAAAAGAGATGTATTGGGTTGCACCTCTAAACCCAGAAGGAAGATACCTGGAATATTATCGACTCCATGATTCCTATGACAACTTATTGCTCTTCAAATACTCCAAGGAATACATGTATAGGTACGGTGAAGGCAGTGGAACAGCTGTGCATAACAATCACATGTATATTAATATCTATTCCTCAAGAGATATGGGCAGGATAGATTTGGCCACCAATAAGTTGGTGTTGAGGAAGCCTCTCCCAAACGCCGTGTATAACAATCGGTTCTCCTACGCAGGGGTAGCTTGGCAAGACTTAGATTTTGCCGTGGATGAGAATGGCTTGTGGGTGATTTACTCCACCGAAGCGAGCCAAGGTAACATTGTCATTAGCAAGATTAATGAAACGACTCTGGATGTGCTCAACACATGGCAAACGACGCAATATAAGCCTGCGGTCTCTAATGCATTTATTATATGTGGGGTGCTCTATGCAACCAGGCCTCTCAACACGCGGAAAGAGGAGATATTTTACTCCTTTGATATCAACACTGGGAAAGAAGGGAGGCTGAGCATTATTGTCGATAAAGTCCTGGAAACCATTCAGAGCATCAACTACAGCCCCATAGATAGGAGGCTGTACGTCTACAACGATGGTTACCTGGTTCGCTACGGCTTAAATTTTGAGCCCCTTCCCCCACAGTAATTTTCCCAGGGAAATTAGAAGCTCTCACTCTCCAAATCCTGCAAAATATTGAGAAATCCAAAGGCAAAGGGGAACAAAGATTGGATCCATTGGCAAATCGTCATCACACATAGCAAAAGGAGCGGTGCGGTGGCCTAGGGGTGGAGTTCTCACCTCACAACCAGGAGGCGGTGAGTTCAATCCTAGGTAGAGGGAGATATTTCTCTCTCTCTCTGGGCACANGCACTAGAATGAAAAGCCAAGCTAATATGAATTTATAAGGTCCATTCTATTAAAACCACCTAACCTGGCCAGCCACTGGTGGGTTTACCTGTGCACCCCCTCCTGCATCAGTTCCAGGTTGTCCAAGCCCCAAATTTCAAGTCTGGTGGCCTAAGGACCCTATTGTGAGCAGAAGAGTGGAGAACTCTTCTCGTGAAATACCTATGGACACGCTCAATCATATTAATGTCCGATACACAGTGTAGATTCCAGGCAGAAGAGCTGTATTCGAAGATTGGTCTGGCAAAGGTTTTGTATGCCCTTTGTAGCATGGCAGTGCTACCGGAGAAGACGCTTCGCAAAATGAGCTTAATAATTCATGTCATAAGCGTTTGTCTATTTCCTGTTTGGTGCTTTTATTGCATTCCTCAACCTGAAGTTCCAGTTCATCAGGCTTACATTAAACAAAATTAATTATCATACGAACTTTGAAACCTGTACAGGAAATGGTTGTTTCCCTCGACGAGCATACTGTTTTTCCACTTAAGGTGAAGGCCATTTCCTAAAGTATTTATTATTTCTGTTAATGAAAGGAAAGTCTAAATTCGGTGTTAAAACTTACACTTACGCCTGATACTAAATCAAATAAATTTATCACTTTAATCATTTATGGATTACTCCATAAATTAAAAAAAAAATATCAGCCAGAAGTGTTTCGGTGTGAGATCACTTTTAAAAGAAAGAATTCTTGTTACTTTAATGTAATAAAAATCTCATGGCTAAATAGGTGATTTTTTTTTTAAATTTATGAAACAAGGCATGAATTATTAAACTGAAACCAGGCCAAGCGCTTAGCTTAGTGACATGAAAAATCGTGCCAGACTAAATCTATGTGACATTTTCTTTCTTACCTGAACAGCAGGATACAGGTGTTTCCTTTTAAGTATATTTTTTTTAGATTTATGCAAGTCATTAATAAGCCTTTAATTTGAAAAGAACGTTACTGATTTAGGAATATTAATTCAGTCAATGTGTTGACAGTTAAGGACAAACTATAAATTACGGCGGCAATATTACCTTATATCTCGGCTGTCTAAAAGGCTGCTATTGATTTAAAAGCTGGTAAGCTGGAAGGCATTTAGCCATAAACCTGGCTCATAAAATGACTGTAATCTGTATTGGCTTTTTTATTGTGCTGATGGAGGTATATTCAGAAAAGTATGTAGGCCAAAAGCTAATGTTGATTACATAGAGATCCAGAAGTGTGGAGAATAGGAATTTGGAAGTCCCCGCTGCTTATGAATTTACTAAAGGTAAAGGTTCCTCTCGCACATATGTGCTAGTTATACCTGAACTCTGGAGGGTGCTGCTCATCTCCATTTCATAGCCGAAGAGCCAGCGCTGTCCGAAGACATCTCCGTGGTCATGTGGCTGGCATGACTCAACGCCGAAGGCGCACGGAACGCTGTTCCCTCCCCACCAAAGGTGGTTCCTCTTTTTCTACTTGCATTTTTTACCTGCTTTTGAACTGCTAAGTTGGCAGAAGCTGGGACAAGTCACGGGAGCTCATTCCGTTATGCAGCGCTAGGGATTCGAACCGCTGAACTGCCGACCTTTTTGATCGACGAGCTCAGCGTCTTAGCCACTGAGCCACTGTGTCCCTATGAATTTACTAGGAGGCCCTAACTCCTTTACATTAGTATTAATACCCCAGGTAGTTTTCAACCTACGACCACAATTGAGATCAACATTGCTAAGCCAGACTGTTGTTAAATGTTGGTCACATTTTACCACCTTTCTTGCTCCAGAGGTTAAGTGAACAGCTTTAAGTTAGTGACATAGTTGTTGTGTGAATCTGGCTTCCCCGTTGCCTTTGCTGGTCAGAAAGTCACAGAGGTGAATCATGTGACCCTGGGACACTTCAACTGCCTTTTTTTGGAAGATGTTTCATTTCTCATCCAAGAAGTGTCTTCAGTTCTAAGCTGAAGATGCTTCTTGGATGAGAAAAAGCAACTTTGGAGAAATTTGTCAACAGACATTAAATCCTTATGGACATTTCCACCGCCAAATTTGGTATTTATATTTGGGTTTCAACCTATCTTAGCCAGAAGACTTCAGTCAACAGAAGAGCTTTGAGTTTCAGTATGACCATTGTTAACTCCAGGAGCAATCTTTTCTTCTTCTTCTTCTTCTTCTTCTTCTTCTTCTTCTTCTTCTTCTTCTTCTTCTTCTTCTTCTTCTTCTTCTTCTTCTTCTT